GTTATGAATATGGAGAAGGAACAGATAAAAATGATAATAAAGCATTTGATTGGTACTTGAGAGCAGCAGAGTCAGAAAATAACAAAGCTCAATTCAACATTGGAAAATTTTATCAATATGGAATAGGAGTGTCAAAAAATCTCAACTTAGCTTTAAAATGGTATCAAAAGGCTAAAGAAAATGGACATGATCGAGCTCCTGAAATAGTTGAATCTTTTAATTTTGAAGAAATTTATTCGAATTGGTAGTTATTTAGTTTTAAAACTTTGAAATAGCAAAACTCGAAACTCTTTTAAACATTTCATCATACGTATAAATTATTGGAAATTTTGCTATTTGATCAACCTTCTCATTATCAATATTAATAATATATACAGATAATACATTGATGAATGAAAACGAATAGTTACTTGTAGAATATTATATATAGGATGTTTTCAATTTCTTGAATATGCATGCATTATTGTGTAATAAATCTGTTTTTGAGTCCTATCGTTATGATTTATAAATTCAATAACGATAAATTTAACCCGTGAATATGATCAAGAAAGACTATCACGATGAAATTTTGATGTTATGCACTATATTACAATTGCTTTGTTGTTCAGATTTTTATATTTTTGATTAAGAAAAGGTTGCAAACTTGGCCAAAAATTATTTTTTCTCGAATTTATTAATAATTATAACTTTTATAAAATTGAATAATTTATAAAATATTTGTAACAATTTCAGTTGCAAACCTCTAAAAATCAGCATTCACACCAGTTTACTTCATCTCAGTAAGCAAAAATTTTTTTGAATTTGCTATAGTCCCCGGCGAAAGTAATGGTGGTGAGTTTTTTTAAAAAAAAGATTTTAAATAAATAATTATTTACACCTATAATGTCTCTAAGACATTATATCTTCAAAAAGTCAAGGCATGCTTCTATCCTTCTATGTTAACTCATTTGGAAATACTAAAACACTAGTAACCTTTGCCTCATAATATTTATTTAATTTTATGCTCTATATAATAGTAGAATTTTGCGTAATCGCAAGTTAAATGGATATCAAACCTGTATATAATCGCAAAATTTTACCCAGGTTAGAATATGTATTATCGTTATGAAAACGCCACAATATATTTTAGACTAGCAATACACAAAAATACTTTAGGAGGAGATAATTATATGTTAAAAGTTATATCGCCATTACTTTCGTCTTAATGAACCCATACTGAATGTTTGCTGTCAAATTCGACATCAACAAATTCATCGATATTGCTACCCTCAAATTTCACATCAAAAAACTCTGTTTCCGTCAAAATATTTATAAAGAAATTTCGATTTCTGGATGTGAATTGTTAATACGATCGGTCCTTGTTAAAAGATTCAGCAGAATTGGTAGTTCTTCAGGATTTGATAAAACTTCTTGTTCGTTAGATAATGTTCTGTCCCAATAATTGGACATTTACTTGTCGATAGTTCTAGTAGCATTGGACACCAAGTTCATAAAGTAACTAAGAATTTAAAAAATCACACTTCAAAGTTTTATATTAGGCCGCACAAAAAATTCTTTGATTTTTATAATACGTACATGACTATGGTGTATAACATCCAAAGTTCATCAAACATTTGTATTTTATAAATGGATAAACTTCTTTACTGAGAAGTAAATACAAAATTTAATCCGTGAATACAGTGGGCGCTCGATACAATAACGTGATCGGGGGAAGAGATTTGGTGTTATTATATCGAGATGTTACTCTATCGAAAAAATAAATACTATGAAAGCTTATTACAGTAATGAGATAGGGGGAAGAGATTTTGTGTTAGTATAACGAAATGTTATCTTAAAGAGTGTTACTGTAACGAGCGCTCACTGTATACTCAAATGTTTGATGAACTTTGGATGTTATATACCATATGTAAAATAATCCAGTGACTATATAGTGTTCCTATGAACTGAATCGAACTGGACTTTTACCTGGGTTCGAGTCTGGATTGAAATTCAAACTGAACTTGAACCGGACTTTGGCTCGAGTTCAAGAAAGATTCAGTTTGAAATTGAAAAATTTGTTCTGAATGAACTATATGCTTTCGTATATGTAAATATAATGTCTTTTATTAATCTAAAGTTACGTTCAATATAATTATTGGTATGATTGCCTCTCATTAATAAATCTTGTCTAAATTTGTTTCTGACAAAAAGGCCTGGCACAATTTTCGGATCTGATGAATCCACCAGATCAAGCACAAGGTAATGTCACGTAATAATCTACCAATCCAATCGCAAAGATCAAGCGTAACATACAATTTGACCAATCCAATTGCAAGAGCACAGTACTCGAAATTTTACTCTCTAAGAAAGATATACATGTACCTATCTTCATTAGATAACTAACCCTAATCATTGTGTTGAATTCCCACTCTATCGGAGGTTCATCATCTGCAACCTGTGCATACATCCAAAAGGTCCAAGAAAAATACTTTTTTCGTGTTAAACATTAACGTAAATATAATTACCTCGATTTCAGGGGACAAGAGCATTTGACGGAAATAAGATGTTCAGGTGTTCGTGGTCGTTGAGCCTGTGCAAATAGAAAGAGTCATGTTGAGGGGGAGGAGTGACAACACGTGGTAAAGGACTGTGAACATGGAAACAGGGATGAGTGGTAATGGGAGAGGCTTCCTCGACTGCCACTTCGTCACGTTCATCCTCTTCCGCTCTCGTTCCACTGGACCAAACTCCATATCAGAATATACTTGACATCCTCGTCGTGCTATTTGATAGACCGTTTGTCTTCCCTTCTTCTACAGTAACAAGTTCAACAAGAACTGAATAAGGAGCTGTTAGGAGATAACAAAAAGCTTAATAAATCACTTGCCTTTTCCAGGCGGACTCTACTTTTATTGATGCGATTCGATCCCTTGTATTCCAAATTTCAATGTTTTCGTACTTCCCTACTTGGAAACAAATAAATCAATCTGCAATACACTCAAACCTCGTTATAGTGAAGACATCGGGGTAAAGGAAAAAATCTTCACTATAGCTTATAAAGAAACTATTATATAGCTTCACTATATCGAGTTGAAGTTTATTAATGATTCTAAAAAATTCTCCATATCGGGAGAGTTGTAATACAATAATATTTGATAAATCTCGAGACAAAAAAAGATGACGGGGAAGCCCCGAGAAGCCACGGACACTTGGCACTACCTACACTCGGCTGCTGGGTTAGCCATGGAGTACACTGGCGCCACCTGTTAACTGCATGAAGTTACCAGAAATTATACTCTTTTGCAATTCTATCGATTTTACTAAAGGTAGGATGTGTATTTGTAAATATTTGTTTCAAGCATCTTAACTCGTCAGTTCGAAAAAGATCAACAGCTAATGTGAAACAATTTCATTAATCATTTCAAATATCTGTCACGCTATTATATTAGTCCCAAAAGTAAGCTGCTTCTAATGGTAGACTTTGTCACATTGCATTAATATTGTAGAATAGAGAGGTAGGGGATAGCCTAAAGTTTTCCGGAAAATATAACAATATATGAATAAAAGAGAAAGCGAAAAAGACAGGTTAACATAAATAATTAAATCAAAATATCTCAAGTATAATATTATTTTTATAATGTAGAATATTTGAATAGGTATATAATAACATCAGAGAACCTTGTCTCATCAGACTCCGTAATCGGAAGTCATTCAGACGGCAATTCCTATCATTGATTACTTTGATGTTCGTTTTCATCATTTATTATTATTTTAAATTGCTATTAATGATTATTATTATTATAATTATTATTATTTCTTGTTGAAGTTTCAAAATACGCAATTCTTACTTTTTTGAATACAGGTATGAATGTTCGACAACTAACCTGGCATCATTAATAAATGATGATACGCGTCAAATCGTTTAAAATAGTTTATGCTATAACGGATATCGAATATAAAGAAAATGATATTCATTAGTATTGCCCAACTGTCATATTAAATATACAGATAAAAATGTTGATAAAAAGATAATGAATTTCAGACATCCAAGGAAGTTATTGACCATCACGAGGAACTTAATCCTTTTGGTGGAAACTGCGAATTCAACGATTTGATTTCATCATAATTTATTTTCTTATATATATATATATAGATATTGATTTGCGAAGATAATTACATACCGGATGTTTTTCTTGTTTATTGTTGCGCAAGGCATTAAGAAATGTCAAATTGATATCGGCCTCAGAAAGATAACTAGGTCTCGTTGCTTTATCTTTGTTTTTTCATTTCATTTACCTAGACCCAAATTCAAGTAAAGATCGGTATTAATACCATTTTCTTTAGATTATAACGACTTGTAGATAAATGCAAAGCAATAACATATGAAAAAATCGAGTTTAAGATGGTGGTCAGTTTTTGTACTGGCAAGTAATTACTCCTCAGCGAAAGGAGCAGCGCTGGTATCAGCATGGTCGATAAGCTGGGGAAAGAAGAGTCTTTCGTGGATATCATCATTCCATCGTGTTATTATAACATTTATTATTGGTTTCTTTACTAATGTTTTACAAATAGGTACAGAAAATACCAGGTAGGAAAAAAATATTATCTTTAGCTTACTTTTATTACCTGGTCTTTACTCTTAAAACGACAACAGTGGGACATTAGACTTGTAAAAGCTGCGTTATTCTCCAAGTTAAAATTAAAAGTGAAAAAAAAATTTCAAGTCGAGCATCTTATTATATACGTCGAATATGAGTCATACATTTATTACTTGATAACGTGACAAGAAAAATCCACAACCAATCAATTTACAATTTTATTATTTCGATTAAATCAATTAAAAAATCAAGTCATCTTTGCCTTCACGCCAGAAGTCAATCGTCTTATAGGACCTTTTTCTTCCTCCACTTCCTCGTACCATTCTTCCTCCCACTCATCCTCATCCTCTTTATCTTCTATTGATTTCACATCATACCGTTTCCCACGTATACCATAAATTCCCCAATTTGTGAAAATATGTTTTCGTACATCTTGTAAATCAATGTCACGCTTCAGACTACGAAACACATTCCTACCTGGTGTTAATAACCAATCGAGTTCGGGTACAGTTTTATCTTTCTTTATATTATTTTTTAAATCACTATCTTGATCCATATTAGTATCAGCTTCTTGTTGAGTTTCATCCCCTTCTACTTCATCACCATCATCATCATCTTTTAACATTATCCATCCACTTTCTTTTAACGTTCTCACATCACTCAACATATCCTCTTCATCATAGCCAGTCACAAAAATAGCACACTTTGTAGCCAACATTTTTTTTAACGTCTTCCCCCAAAAATCTTTCCCGTTAGGTTGCGCAAATCCAGGACTAAACAGAAAGAAAACATCGGTGTATGGATCAAATGGATGCATACTCTCGTGATAATCGTGATACATTTGTTTGGCCCAAGTGAAACTTAGTCGTGGACCATAATGTTTTGTTATAGTTGAAAATGGTGATAATTTTTCCCCCTTTTCCTCATCCCTATTCTGTTGTGGTGGTGATGGTGAAAACGAAGGTGGTGGTAAAGATTCAGGCCCGATAAAGTGTATGTGAAAGGTGTTGTCGGGAAAGAGATGGCATATTTCGTTATATACGTCGGCGGGCAATTGAGCTTCCGCTCGAGCTCCAACCACCATTATACGAATTACTTGATCTAACTGAAGTGCTTTGATGTCGTGTGTCGTTTTATTCGAGTATAATGTTGATTTGAGAGCTATTATTTATTAATTGTTAATAATAATATATATTATTTACTAAAACACGATAAATTATCATGTATATCAAATATAATCTACCAATCAAAGATTTTAACCCTTCGCTCGTCAACCGATTACGAAGTGAATAAGGTCCTGATTCATGTAAAACTGACGCCATAGTAACTGGGTATGTTAAAGGTTTAGTAACATGTCTTAGTGAGCGGTCTTCATCCAAGCTTGGGAAATTACGCGTGTAGAAATATGTATCCCATGTGAGCATATTAACTCTTTGATCTAGATCCTGTTCACCTTTATAATAAGGTTAAAGATCAATCGGAACCTTAAGAGACAAATCAATAAAATCACTAATCATCGATACAATAATAATCATAATAATTAACAAAAGATACCTGGAAAATCGAATTCCGTCATCTTTCGCCCGCTTCTCAAATCATGTTCATCCTCGTTAGCCTCTCTTAACCAAACACAAACCTTCCGGTGCTCCTCTATATCCTGTTCATAGTGTTCTTTTGAACAGTGAGTAGGATACCCGCAGCCGGGACACTCATAAATAGACTGTCGTTGCTGCTGCTGCGGTTGCGAAATACAGATAGGACACGTGCCATACGTGTTTATAATTTTGGCGCGATTTTGTATGTCTGGTATTGGGGATCGGGAAAGTGGGTAAAAGAGATTGTCACTTGTGAGTATTGGTTTTGGTGGTGGAGGCGATGTTTGAGGTGTCTGTGTTGGAAAGGAAGAAGTTGAAGTTATAGGGGCAAAAGAAAACTTTGGGTCTTGGTTTCTGAGGGAAGTGAATATTGATTTGAGTGAGAAGAAAGGTCGGGTAAAAATTGATTTTGTGATTTGTACATTATTATAGTTGCTGATAATATTATAGTTTAAAAATGTGCTACTTTTATTAAGGTTCTCTATGAAATGTGATAAAAACTGTTTTTGTTGTAGTTGGTTGTGAATCAAAATACGTCGCGGTCTCGGTAGCAGCGAGAGCGACGTGCTTCTGGTTTTAAACATTATCATCAAAATAATTTTGTCATTAACGATCTTGAAAAATTTTAACTAAGGTGTATATTTCATATCGATGGATTGTTCTAGAATATTTATTTTTATAAATGTCTGATTAAAAAGATTTTTAGCGGTACAACATATTTTGCGTTATCAATAATGTTATTGGGGAAGCTGCTATTTGAATAATAATCTACACAACCGCGCGTTATGTCTCAGTTAAATAATATTATTGTTATTATACATCGCTCGTCAAAATTTCGAGGAACCTAAATAGCCAACAAAGATAAATTAAATAAAATATTGATCCAATAAGTTAGCAAAAAAAAACGACATACTTTTTGGAAGCTTTAGTCGTGGACTTGGACGGCCGTTTCTTCTTTGTAATTTTGTTGGCAGCACGTCTCTCAGCATTCAGAATTTCAGCACGACGTAACACTTTAGCGTACGGATTAAGTCTAATAAGCACGCCGTTGTTTCGTAGTGGATTCTTCTTTTGAGTGTATGGTCGTTTTTGGTGCTTCTCGCCGGCTGGTCGAAGTACAGATTGGATTTCTGTGGAATTGATAATGCGTGTGACATCACTGCTGGAAATGATATGTGATGGCAAACTGGAAAAATAAAATGGAATGAAGTTTAATAAAATAAGTCTGTTGAAAGAATAACACATGATTAAATTGAGAAAAATTTAATCAATTACCGATAATCTTTCTTGAGAGAAGCAGGCTTCTGATAAGTTCCATACAAATCATCCAACAACGCAAAAGCGCCATGCGACCAAATGATAAACCGACCCAAATGTCCACCTGGCGCCAACAAAAGTAAATTCAAATGTCGAACATTGACCAACTCCACGCCCGGGATATTACGGAACGCTTTTACCACCCCATGATCTTCGTTATACACAATAAGTGGACCACGACGTTGACGGTGTCGACGATTTCGCATTTTACCTTTACCGGCACGTAGTTTACGCGAATTTGATACTTTTACGACGTCTCGGTAAGCGTTTACGGCTTTTAAAAGAGCCACAGCTGCTCTGGTCTTTGCCAAGGATTCGATGTCGTTGGAGACCACTAGTGGGATTTCGGCAATTTCTTCGATTCTGTGACCGCGTGCTAAGACTAGTGGTGGGACTGATGATGCTGCTAGTGCGGATGCGGTAGCGTAACGTTTTTGATTTAGGTTTGTTTTGACATGCCATTTACGCCAGATTTTAGTTGGAGCAAACATGCGACCACCTCGGCACATGTTACCAAAAGCACCCTAAATATTTTATATTTAACATGATCCATTATTGATTAAAGAGAATCAGAGTGACATCATCAGTCTGATTAGTACCTGACCAGCACGATGAGTACCACCACCCGAAACACGAGGAATTCGAGCAACCGCACGACCTGTTCCCCAAGACTCGGCGGAAGTCTGATGTCCTGCTTTCTTTGATACTGCATAAGGTTGACGTTTGTTCTTTGCGATGCTTGTGTGAACCGCGTTCACGATATCCGGACGAATAGGAGCTCTGAATACGGCTGGAAGAGCATGTTTTTGTTCCGTTTTACTTCCGTCGTGGGAGTAGATTACAATTGGTGGTCTTTGTACCGCGGTGGACTAATTATTTGTTCGGATAATATAGAAATTAACATAGAAATTGTCTAATTGTTTCTTGTAGAATGGATAGTCATATTGATTACTTCAAAATTTACGCCTATTACAATACAAACTTGATGGATGGATACAAGCCGATGATACAAATTCTGCTATTCTCTTAATTCACTTGTTTTCACTTACCATCTTTTACAATATATATCAAGGAACAAAACAAAAACAACGAGAAAGGACAATTTCAACTTTTTTTTCTCGTTTTTTGGTATCGACCAATTAGAATTCAGCGAGTAGAATTTCTATAAACTCACATAGCCTGGTGACCACCAATCATACACGTGCGATCGGCGATTGTTATGATCTGCCGATGTGAAATCTATTTTTCTGCAGTTCGAGTACACAAAATAAAGTACTGTTCTTTTGCTTCCCAAGAAATAAAACTCACAAAACGTTTATTCAAAGCTGATTCACTGTTGATTCGCTCACAAAAATAAGTGAATAAAATTACCGATCATAAATAACAACGTCAAATCTTTTACAACACATTTAACATCTTTAGTAAAACTGAAAGAACTAAAAGCATCATGGCGGGACAAATCAACATGATACAGTTGAAAGATTTTAATAGCAGTTATCCTCAAAGTATGTCTCAGTCTGAAGAAGAGCTCTTGGCTGTTTGTTTAACCCAAAGACCAAGTCAGCAACAGCAGCAGTTAAACTCAAATCGTGATAATAATAATTTGTCGAATATTCTTTCTATTGCTCTAACCTGTAGCGAGTGCTATTATTACTCTACCCGTAAGCATTGATGCCACATTGTACCTTATTTTTGTTGTTTGTTTTTTGGTGATTATAGAGTATTGATGTTTGAAATTGCAAATGAATAATTTTTATTTTTATTTCTCGTAGTGGGCAAGAAGACAGGGTGGCGCTCCTGTAAGTATTTGTTTTCTTACCTTTCACTTTTTTGCACACACAGAAATTTAGATGATTAGCAGAAACTCAAATTATTATCATCATTATTCTTCAATAATAGGACATGACTCCCGAGCTCTTTATGAACACAACTCAAGGCCTCCTGGCCCACAAAAGTGGCAGTTTTATGGGATCTTCAGGAGGTCTTAATCTTAGTAATAGTAGTACAAAGGGTGGTAGTGGTGATGGAATTATGTACGAGGACAATATAAATTTAATTCATAATTATAATAATACTTACACTAATAACAACAACAAAAACCCCATAAAATTCGCCGAAGAACTGTTCCGAACTGGTATTCCTTCTGCCTCAATTGACATGATCTTGACTATTGTATCGGCTCAACCTAAATCCGAATATGCATGGAAAGGATTCGTGGTGAACGAAACTTTGTTCCTAAAAGGTAGCGGCCTTGAAAATGTGGATCTTCGAGAAAGGTGCGCGAGATTGTCTTCTTTTACTTTCTTATTGATCGATTACTTTTTTGTTTGTTTGATTTTGTTGATGCTTGAATGCATATTTTTATTGCAACAAATTATGAAAAAAATACGTGGGCCATCATATTCCCTTTTCTTTTTTGCAAATATCATTTATCATTATCATTATTATCATTATTATCATGATATTAACAGCCTCAAGCTCGAACATTGACTGTTAAGGATAAGATGTGAAATTTGGAAAATTAATAAGAATAACAATAATGCAATAATGAAAAATAAATGATAATAACAAGAATACAATAATGAAAGGAGTAATAATAATAATAATAATAATAAGTTCACCCATACTGGCTGTATTTGTTTATGTGATTGGTTGGTTGGTTGGTTGGTTATGAAAGTTAAGGAATGTGAGGCTCACATATTTATCTAACACTTTTTTCTCTATGCGTATAAATACCTTTTTCCTCGAATTATTTTTTATTTTGTATTCCTTTAATTGCGCGTGATTATCTCTCTCTGTCTTGCTTTGTCTTTATCCTCTCGTCCTACTACCAAACAATAAACACACAAAACAGTATTGTCGCCGTATTGGAACTCGCGGAAGAATGCTTAAAGTGTCGCTCGTTGGTTGTTTGTCTTAATAAGAAGGATCCACAACTTAGTAAGTCAAATTTCCGTTATGTTTTTTATTCTATTGTATTTTTGTAAGAGCACAACATTCTAGAGAATGTATAATTAATCAAATATGAATCTAACGACGTTTATCAATTGTGTGTTATCAAATAGCAACCCTTATTCGCACTTTTATGTACGTCGGATTCGAAGCATGCGCTCCTCAAGTTTTTGATCACGATACCGAAAAATTCATGCTTGTTGGAATGGAGCTGTAAATCAAATTAAAAGTCAAACTTTATAAAAAAAAAAGAAAATAGACCTTTCTTTTTTTTTTTGGCATTAGTAATTAATTATTTATGGTTGTTTGAATTTGATAATTAATTATTAATCTTCTTTTTTGGTTGGTTTGAATTTTTGTTGTTTGATACATTCATATTTATCCCTTCATCCATATTTTTTTCTTAAACGCCTTTTATTTAGCACACACATATTTCGTATATAACATTCATCATCAGTATTATTGATTTTTTCGGGTGTACTACTATTACAAGAGATGGGTATTGTGTTCTTTTTTTATTTTTTTCTATTTCATTATTTCTTACAATAAAATTGGTATGTGGCATCCACACGTATTAATAAATACGGACATTATTTTTTTATCGTCTATATTAAGTGCATGCTTAGATAATGATAATTGCAATAGCATTAATGACCTTGCTTAATATCAAAGGTTGTTAAAACCTTATACAGATCCGAAATTATATTAACAGATCCTGGTTTGATGTTTCGGCATCAGTCAAAATGGGTTTCGGCAAGCAACATTTAGCGTTAGTTGCTCGTTACAAACTAGCGTTGTGCTTTTTGCCAATAGGTCATAATTTTGCCTGACATTAAGCGATCTACATAATTTTGGCAAACTTAACTAGCCAAATTTTCGATCAATTATTTAGTGAATTACAAGCACATCAATGTTTGTAAAATCTGGCGTTGATGTTGTTAAACAGATTGAAAAAAAATCGACGATAACGATAATATAAACAAATGCTTGCATGAATAAGTAGTCACATCTCTATATAATCACCCACACTCCCACATCAACATAAAAAATTGATCTTATTTTTATTACTAACATGAAAAGATAATCCAGAGAGATCTCCCTAAATGCATGCACACGCTATATCATCTCTAAATGCATGCTATGGCTCAGTCCCAACTTATAAACCCTCTAATTATTTACTCTCTATACGTATATGTACAGTACCCCCAAAAAGTAACGCCCGATTCAAAATTAAACATAAAAATTTTAACACTTTTCCGATTTATTTTATTT